GCGAGGGAGGAAAAGCAAGGTGGGAGGAGGAGCGCGGGGGAGGAAGGGGAAAGAGGAGGGGGGAGACATGGGATAATGATGGGGGTGATGCAAAAGGAGCAATAAACTGCCGACACGTCCAAAAAAACCCGTGTGGCGAAGAGCAGCGGGGATCGGTGATGAGAACAAGAGGGGGATCTCGATCCGGACATACATACGGAGGGACATGGATGGACAGGCGGGCCATCGCAGTGGCCAATACACCGGTGGCAGCAAGGTTACGCAAATGTGAATGCCGGCTGGCGCAATTAGGCGGGAAGGCAGGTTGCACCTATCGGGCAAAAACAAACAGGAAAACCAGGGCAATCAGGGGTGGGCAGCAGGGGCCCTGGGGGGGCTGGCTAACGGGCCTGCAGGCTGTAGATGCGGAGGCAAAGGCGATTAAATTATGCGAGGGTAAGCTGTGGGATATGGATCCTTTTTCCAGACAGAAGTCGAGAGCTGGTGCTGCGGCAACCCACGTGTGTAGCGGGAGGCCGCGTCCATTCGAATCCCAGGCCAGGCATGTCTTTCAAGGCCCAGCTCCTACTCAGACTGGACCGCCAGCTCACTTAATAAACGCAGCGATTTGCTCCGGGCGATTTGCGGGAAAGCAATGGCCATTGACGAGACATTTGACTTTCCCATCCTCTTGGGTTTCGAAGTACTCCTTGTACGGCCCAATTGCTTCGGCCAGCTTAGCGTCCATGAGTGGCTGGGTTAATTGGAGAGCTCCTTAACAGTAGTCGCGAGTACGAGGTCCAAATGACTTGAAGGCTGTGCAGGGTTAATGCCAGCTGTCGGCACCGCAACCGGACGGCGGCGCTCCACAAACAGGAGTACTATGGCGTCAGCCAAGTTGAATTGCAATCAATGGTCAGTCCACCACAGAAAAGAGATTGACCAGCCTGGTACAAAAACAAAGTGCTTCGCTGGTGTCGTGGCTGGTGATAGTGACTTTTAGTTCATTTTTAAGGCAGGTGCCCTCTGGGCATTACCTTATGGTAGAACGTTCCAACTCAGTAGTGCATATTTTGCTGTATTTGCTGCTCAATATAACCAATCGTAAAGCCGTAAACCTATGTTCGTCCAACGGCAACACAAATCCGGTAACGAGGCACGCAATCCCAGGTATTTGATAACCTAATTACCGTTGAGGTTTCCTCTCATACCCCAAGATACGTTCATGTTACAAACTCACGACCACCTGCTTGCATGGTCAAGGCTGTATACGACTAGGACCCTTAACCTTCACGTGGCTTCCATGCAAAGCTTCTAGTTCAACGATGGCTTTGATCATTGCAAAATCAGACTCCCTTTAGCGGAGGTACTCCCCCGGCGAACATTCTCGCCCGTCGAGGTTGGGCAGTTGTGCGACTGTGGCGCGTCCATATCAGCTAAGACATGGAAGGAAGCTCCTTTTCAGCTCGCGTGCTTAGCAGGACACTTGGACCGCCCTGCAGCAACATCATCACGTTCTGCGTGGAGGGTTATCAGGGCATCACATATTGCGCGTACGCGGTATCAGATGATGCGATCATTATTCAACAGGCAAGTCTGTGGGGGCTCGCGAATTTTGAGCCTCATGGGCTGAGGAGCAGCAATCCCAGCCTGCTATGTCCCCCGGTAGTAGCTGTTGCACCTTGCTTGGCCGCGTCCAGCCACGTTGGGAAAACCCTCACCTGCCCCGCACAACCCCCCTTACATATTTCCCTCTCACCAGCCAATACCAAACATTCTTTTGTACGCGCACTTTTCGGCCTAAGGACACACCGGGTTTTAGCCGGCCATGCCATAGCCGGCGGTGCTAAGGACCCACTCAACCTGCGCGACTCCGCCCTATACTCTCCTCCAATTAACTCTGCTCACCACGACACACAAATACCCCAACTAAAAACCAAAACCAACCGCAGACAGACACACACGCACACACACACACACACACACACACACACACACACACATCCTGGGTCCTCATATCACCTTGCATGGGTCCTCATACCTCACCTTACATCTTCCTGGGTCCCAGTCCCGCAATACCCACAACCCTGTGCGTTTTAGAAATTCTCCACAGCCGGATTTGGAAAAAGCCAAACACATGCACGATCTGCGAGACACCCATTCCATATTCCAGGCGTCCAAACCGCTAATTTGGATCTTAGGACCTGCCTTCTGTATGTCTGTGTGTATGTCTGTGTATTACCGTATGATACTGTACTCCCCCTAAGTTACACGGTCGATCCCTCTGCCCTTCCCTATCGGCTGTCTTACACCTTGCACTTGTCAGCTTTTATAATAGAGGGGGTAATAGCAACAGTTTCCCAACGTAATCCCCCTCCGATAGGTAGGTTCTTATGCGTTGTTAGCACTCATTCCCCACGACAAATTAAACATTTAATGCTCGCTCGACTTTCTTCCGCTGAACCGTCTCTACATTATACATGGGGACACCCGGCATATGGACCCGCCCGGCCCCCCGCACACCACCCGCCTGGCCGTACACTTCCGTACTCTTGTGGCTATCCAGAGTCTACAACATGCAGCCCATGCGGACGGTACGGCTAACTTCTCAACCACCGCCGCCGCCGCCTCGGCGGCGGCAGCGGTGCAGACACAGATGCCAGCTGGGGTCCACGGTAACAGCTTCACATTGTCGGCAGCGGCAGCAGTAGCAGCAGCCTCTCCGAAACCGGGTCAGTTTGCGCCCGTACTGCTGATTGATCGAGTGGTTTTCGAGCATGGCTCTGACTCCTTTGAGCGGCTGTGCTGGGGCGGCGGTCCGGAGGCGCTGTTGGCAGCGGCCACCAAGCAGCACGTGTATATCTTCTCACTGAGGCCCTTCTTCCAGGCGAGTGGGGTGAGATAGCGGGGCGAGTGGGGTGAGATAGCGGGGCGAGTGGGGTGAGATAGCGGGGCGAGTGGGACGAGATAGCGGGGCGAGTGGGACGAGATAGCGGGGCGAGTGGGACGAGATAGCGGGGCGAGTGGGACGAGATAGCGGGGCGAGTGGGACGAGATAGGGGGGCGAGTGGGACGAGATAGGGGGGCGAGTGGGACGAGATAGGGGGGCGAGTGGGACGAGATAGCGGGGCGAGTGGGACGAGATAGCGGGGCGAGTGGGACGAGATAGCGGGGGGAGTGCGGCACGTCGTGTGTTGAATGCCGCGAATGTGGCCAATGGGGCGAGTGTAGCGACGGGAAAAGTGGATGCAGTTTTACGATGGGCGTAGCTTGGGGCCGGTTCCTGTGGAAAAGGAAGGCACCAGGAAGACAGACGTCGCTGTCATTTCTTAGCTGGCCGTTGACAGTCGTTGGTTTTAGCTTTTTGAAGTCTCCACCTCTTATCGCCATTTTTATATGCCTTGTTCATATCTCTTATCTTTTGTTGTTTTCCTTCTCCTTCTCCTCCTCCTCCTCCTCGTCGTGCAGGGCCCCGCCGCGATGCTACCCCGCCACATCACCCCCTCGCTACCGCTGCCCAGCACCGCCTTCGCCGTCAGCGGCGTCTATCGAACCGCCATGCCCGCCACCGCTCTGAACTTCACACAGAACTCCCGGGGGCTGCTGCTGACAGACGTGGGCAATAACGTCATGATGCTGAAGCTCGTACCAAAGCCGGGCCTAGGGTTGTACCAGTCGTCGTCGCAACAGCAGTGGCAGCAGCCGCAGCAACAACAGCTGCTGAAGAAGAAGAAGACGCAATACGGCATCATGACGGCGGGGACGGCGGCAGCGACGGCGGCGGCGGCGGCGGCGCCGGTACGGTTCTCTGTACATGAGGCCTGGCGCGTGCGCGCGGATGCAGCGCATACGCTGGCGTCAGCGAGTTTTGATTGCTACAGCCCGTGTGCCACGACGACGGCTGTAGCCGCCGCCAGCGGCGGGCCGCACAAGGTGACGATTTGGTGGCCGTCGCAGCCGAGCAGCAGCGGCAGTGGGCACCTCGGCGCATCTGCCGTCGGTGCGGAAATTATACGGCATCCTGTACGGGTTCTGTCATTGGACTGGAGTCCTCCGTTGGTGGGGTCGCGTCCTGCGGAAAAGGGTGACGGCGGCGGCGGCGGCGGTGGAAGTGGATTCGAAAATCAAGTCACAGAAGGGGTGGC